AGACAAGATACACCGAAGCTACCTACGTCAGGAAGCCGATCTGCTGCAAAGGGTTTCGGCGATGGACACCTGGCAAAACTCTTTTGCCCGTAAACTTGAAACGTGACAATACTTTGGAGGTTATGCTAGGAGCGACTAGGAATGGTGCAGATTGGGACGATCTGAAGCTGATCGCCTCAATCTACGCAATCCTGAATTTTCCTGAGCGTACTTTTGGGCAATCGGGGGCAATGTGTTAATCGAAATCGAGATTGCGATCGATTGCAATCGATTGCCTCAATCTGATGCAAACGATTGCGACCAACTGCAAACAATGAATCGAGTAGTTGGTAACTATGCGCGAGCAGTAACTGCAAAAACCTAATTATACGGGCACAATTTTGCCCGTTTCATCACAATTGGTCACAGAAATATCACAGTAATCACAGTACAGTAGATTTCTATCGCGTGTGATCACAGTGCTACCACGGATGGTCACACCTCGCCAAGAAAAGATGTCACGTTTGGTAACTCGTGGAAACGATGGATGGAAAATTAAAACTACTCGAGTTATTGTAGGGATTCAAGGAACATTTTATCGCGCGCGCCGTTTTGTCCGTAGTATTGCGAAATTAGTTTTGCGACATCTCTTGGTAACTCGTTAAATACAACTACAAGTTCTTGTCACTGTTCAATTGTGTACCGCACGTTTGATGCATTATGTCCCTAAGGACGTGGGTCCAATCGAGTTTGATCGCCTCGATCAGAAGCGGTCAACAAATTCGAGGAAGCCTGGAAGCCAATTACAGGCAACCGGGGGCAATCAGCTGATCGCGATCAGCTGATCGCCCTAATTCTATCACACCCAATTTTTACCCCGATCAAACTCGATTTTGCTCAATCACCCTCGATCAGTGATTGCATGTGATCGAGGGCCATAACGATGGTTGCGAAATGTTGCACTGTCTCGTGAACATCTCGCTCATGCATGGCACATGGCGAGAACTCTGCAGGGGTTAACGATATTACGGGAAACAAATTCGTTCGCCAGGTGGTGTTCAGTCGCCAATCTCGCGTGCGTTGGATAAGAATTTCCGTGTAATGTTCCAGCATTTGCCTAGCAACAGCTTCAAATCTTCGACGAATAACATTACTGATCGGGCGGCTCGAGCAAAGTGATCACAAGCAATTCGATCCGATCAGATCAGAGCCGATCAGACCCGATTGGGCCCGCGTCCTAAGAATATCACTTTCACAAATGGGTTGAGTTGATCACGCACGGTTACTTTCTGAAACTACAAATGTTCTTGCTTAGAGTCCCCGTGAAAAACACACGCGCTGCGGGCCTTTGTGGAAAAACCTTCAAACCCCAGGCAAACGGGACCCTATAGTCCCATATTCGGTAAAATTGCATGGAAATTGGTTTTGCTTCGCTATTAGTTGGTGTTTCCTGTCATATACGTACCAATTCGGAATGCGCTAGATTCAACTTCTTGTCGCAAGATTCTCCACGTTCATCAGTGTCGCATGACTGACGGTCAGAAAAACAAAATTGTTTATGTTTGAGGAATTAATAAGAGGAAATATGATTTGTTTTTCCCTGTCATCGTCGAGCGCGCAGAGTAACGCTCGACGGGATTTAGAAGTAAGCGCGGTCAAGAGAAATATTCAGAAATAGTTTCAAATGTAAATATCAAAGCGAAATTTCCTTCCCTCACATTTTCCGGGGCTGGTTCGATTTGGGCCCTCTGATTGGCTGCGGAACTGATCCTCAATCAAGCTGCATAATTTCCCGCCAAAAAAGGGACTGTAGAGGAGGGGCTTCACGTAGGAAATATATGAAAAATGTACACGATGTGGAAAATGGAATCTCTTAGGAAAGGCTTCTAAGCCAGAACATTTGTATACGCCGAAGGCGCAGCTTTGTCGCTTCTGCGTACAGTACAAGTGTTCTCGTTTATAGTCCGACGGATCAACATCGCCGCGCGCGGACTATGTGGCAAAACCTTCGAACCCTAGGCAAAACGTATAGTCCCATTCAGGAAAACTGCATGAAGAGTGGTTGTTTTGCTACTAGTTTCTGGAGTTTGGCATTTACGTAGATTTGGACCGCGCTTGCTTGAACTTCCAGTCGCACGGTTTTCCACGCTGATCAATGTCGCATGACTAACGGTCAAAACAAAACAAAATAAAATATGGTTTGGGGGTCGAATAGTAACCCAAAAACTTCTTTTCTACCCAGCAAGCGAGATAAACGAGGTCATCGTTGATCGCGCTGGAGACATCGCGACCGGATTGAGAAGTAGTCGCGGTCAAGAGAAACAATTACTTACAATTTAAAAGTTAAAAGATCGAATCGATGATCCCTTCTTCATCGTTCTCGATGAATGTTGGGGCTGGTTCGATATGGAGCCTCTGATTGGCTGCGAAGCTGATTCGTTCAATGATAAGGTCAAACTGCCAGATTTCCCGCCAAAAACGGGACTATAGGGTTCGGGCCAACCCTAGGCGATATCGGAAAATTCTACTCAGGGTGGAAAAGGAACTCTCTTAGCGAAAGCCTCTAACCCGGAACATCTGTACTGCCTTTTTCGATCGGGGCGCAGATTTACTGTATCTGCGCACGTTGTCTCATTGTGCATGGCTACTGGTAAACAAAAACCCCATTATGTACACTTGCATCTTTGGACACTTCTGAACAGTCCCTACCAGTGGTACATATTGACGATGTTGTCGTTTAGGTGACTGAAGTGTACACTTAAGTTCGGGCTAATTATACTGCCTGCCACAAAACATTGACAGCTATCTATCCGCGTCCCTGCTCTGTCACGGATCGTCACTTGTTCCTTCAAATATATCAATGGTCTCACTGTTTTCGTAGTTAGCCACCTGCTTAGCAGAATTGATTGCGAACCGGGTGCTGTTGAATACCCTTAAGTTTTTCTATGGTCAGGGTTGATATCTTGGTCAAGTATCGTGAAATGATTCGCACATCTGGCACACAAGTTTCCAGGTACAGTAAAGATGGAGGAGGGGGAGAGCCTCCTTTGGGCACACAAGTTTCCACATTCATGTCGGTGCATGGGCACACAAGTTAGCAAATTCATGTCGGTGCATGTAAAGGCCAGACTGACGTGTCTACTGCTGACATGGTGTCCAATCTATTTTGGCGGGCGAACATCAGCCGCTGAGAACATTTTCATCGCGGCCATGAGACCTGCGTACAGGTGGCAAAACGGAGGATTTCGTGTGTTCCGGACTCTGAAAGGCTCTACGAGATTAGTAATCTCTCAACCGGCACCGTGGAGTCTTCTCAGATTATCGGTAAGCGAGTCTTATCTGTAGTACTACTACTACGACGTTCTATATGTTCTATGGTTAGGTTAGAATCGCAACATGGCTGGGCCCGCAAACTGTAACCCTAAAGTTACGTTGGGGTAACACGATTACCTTCCTGAAGGTGTAGAATGATACCACGTGAGTGAAGTTGTCTTTGTGGCTGAGAAGGCTACCTCGAAAGCGCATCCCCGACCAGGGCACACCTGCGGTTCAGTCATGTCGTGATGACGCAACCCTGCGCAGCTCGTAATCAATCGTCGTTATTGGCTCTACTAGATTTCTGGTAACCCGTCTAGTGACTTTTGCCTAGAACGTTGCGCATGCCACCTTTCGGGTGTTTCGACGTCCCGAGCTCCCGGAGCTTCGTCACGTGCACAACCTGGGGTAAGCGCCGTGAGCACAATCACAGGTCTCTTCCCCTCCCCCCTCCCCCTCTTCCCCGCAGGGCAGTAATGCCGCGCGGCGCGACTACTACTACTAGTACTTCCCATCGTCCCGGAGCCCTGTTGAGTTTGCGGGTGTGCGGCGGCAGGCCCACTCAAGGCCGCGCCGCGCTCATCCACCCGCGGCGTCGGAGCTGTCACCACCTGAGAGACCGAGCGCTGGTGGTGCGCCATTATATGCGAGGGGGCGTTGAGTGGCGGGAGGAGTTGGGGAACGGAAAGGGCGGCGAGGAGCGATGGGGAGGAGCAATGGCGGGGGGGTGGCTGGGCGGGTGGCGGTGATGGGCGTGTTGGCGGTGATGGCGATGGTGGGGAGCGACGAGGGCCTCACGAAGGGCGGTTGGGCGCAGCGCTGCTTCTGGCGCAGCAGCGGCTGCAGCCGTGGCTTCCTCCCCATCATGATGGCGCACGCTGCTCCCCTTGACCCCACCCAGTGTGAGCGTGTGATTGCGGGAGTGTGGGGAGTCCGAGTGTGTGCGTGCGTTTGTGCATGTGTGTGTGTGCATGCGGCGTGCGTGTATAACGCCTCGTTACCCACTGAGTCAAAAGAGGGTGTTATTTGGGGCTGCAGAATGCCCTTAGCACTAGCCCACACGCGTTACATCGTCCCCCCCTGGTGCCAAGTTGCCAACGTCCCCGTGGCTCTGAACTTCAGGGAGTTGGCCCCCTCCTGGAACCTAGATTTCGCTGTTCTGCTAGCAGCGACTTCGCTGGTTGCCCAGGCCGGCGGAGGATCGTTCGCTGGGTTCAAGTCTGGTAACCACATTTCAGTTCTCACCACAGGCGGAATATGTGGACCAGCCAGGATTTGAAGTCTCTGATACCACTATGACGCCTCGGCTACCCATTGGGTCAAAACGAGGGTGTTATATGGCGCAGCAGAATGCAAGTAACAATAGCCCACAGGCATTACATCGTGCGTGTGTGTGCATGCATGCGTGTGCACACGCGCGCGCGCGCGCGCGTGTGTGTGTGTGTGTGTGTGTGTGTGTGTGTGTGTGTGTAACTGTGTGTGCTGCAGGGCACCCAAGGCAAGGCACCACCAGGTCTTGCCATCGGATGCACATGCCATTCACATCATCGTCATCTCATGGCCTGGCTTCACCGCAACCTCTTTCCGTTCCATGAAATCGCAGCACACGCGTTCCTCGTCCCTTGCGTCTCAATGCCCCTCTGTTGCGCGCTCACATTGTTGCGCTGACCCCATTTCTGTGCTGAACCCATTGCTGTGCTGCACAGGGCCAGGGCTGCGAGACATGAAGGCGCAGTGGAGCAGTATAATACCGGCCATCACCGACACCTGGGCAGAGAACGCTGACTGCAACGGATTCGGAAGTGTCACGTGCAACGGTGCTGGCTTCGTGACAACGATGTGAGTGTGGGGCATTCCTGGAATGGAGCTCTCTTGGAATGAGGCGCGTACAACGTGAGGTGTAGTGCCTGTAGGCTCACACGAGCGCGGAAAGGCATCCGCGGCGCCTTTGGAGAATAACCCCCGTTTGACGCAGTGGTGTGGCGGGCGTTACATGAGGCGCTCATTCCAGATTGTGTAGAATGGATTTGTGCGCCGTCATGAGTCGGCTAGTCGTTGTTATGCCGACCTGTTTCGGTTATTCAGCACCTTTTAATCTGCAGCCTCACACTCTCACCTTGGCCTATTCGTGGATGCATTGCACTGTGTGGATCAGAGACTTGAAACAAAACGATCTAACGGGCTCCCTTCCTGCGACCATTAGCGTCTTCAACAGCCTCGAATACCTGTACGTACTCTTTCACAATTCTTAGTGTCCCTCCTTCTCATCCCCTGCCTCTCGTTCTGACGTGGGCACGAGGTGTTTCAAGGGAAACCAGGCTGGGTTGGTCTTGAGCCCGCAAAAGTGTGGAGTTGAGACGATTTTCATAGGGTTTTCTCGACCAGCACTTAAGAAGCTTGTAAGTAGAGTTCACTAAGCGAATTATCAGCTATATACGGACACGACCTAAAACCATCGAGCCGTATTGCCGCGCTTTCTCCAGACCCAATCCCGGTCCAATGCCGGGGGGGCAAGTGTAACTCAAATGTACACCTCTGTTCGACTTGGCGATTCGATTCAGCCACTTGTTTGCCCATATCCTCTTTGCCTTGGTGCAGCTTGAATCGTCATATGGTCGCCACATCACCCCCCTATCACTTTCATCCTCCAGTGTTACACACACAAACATCTTATCACCCTCCCGTGCCTCGCCTCTCTTTCTCACTCTCTCCCTCTTCACCATTGCTCTCCCCTCCCTCCCCATGCCTCCTCCGTTCCCACTCAGCTATATAGAGGAAAACTATTTATCGGGCTCACTCCCATCGACCTTCTCCAAACTCGTTTCTCTGAAGGAATTGTGAGATGCCCTTCCATCTGCCATCTGCCAGTTGGTCATGTTGCTGCAAAACGCACGCATGCAGCCCCCTATTGAGTAGGCAAAACCAATGTTTCTGGTTATTGTCACATCACACGTTTCTGTGAGCCTACAAACTCGTGCCAGGTCGTGTAATTGTTATGTGCCGACTGTGAGAAGTAGAAGGGAACAGAACGACTAGAATGACAGCATAGGTACATATAGGAAACCTTAGCCTGTCCAACCTAGCTTAACAAAGTGTACACATACAATATATAAGTGTACTTTGACATCGACAATCCAAATTGAAAACCTTTGGCTTGTGACAAGCTGGCCATGTGTCGGCAATCCCGGCTCGCCACTAGCCGTTCGCGGGCCAGCCCGTTCTCATGGAGCGATTTCTGCGAATCTTCTTGCCTCCCCTTGCACGCCTTTCATCCCCTTGCACGCCTTTCATCCCCTTGCACGCCTTTCATCCCCTTGCACGCCTTTCATCCCCTTGCACGCCTTTCATCCCCTTGCACGCCTTTCATCCCCTTGCACGCCTTTCATCCCCTTGCACGCCTTTCATCCCCTTGCACGCCTTTCATCCCCTTGCACGCCTTGCCCCACCCACCACACAGCGTCGCCAATAACAACCAGATCAGTGGGCCCCTGCCTGATGGTATCGGTGCTCTCACTAACATGTACCAGCTGTAAGGCCCTCCACTCCACTCCTCGCACGCCTTCCGACTGCCTCCCTTTTCTCCCCCCCTTCCCCCCCCCCTCCCCCCCCTCCCCAAGTATGTTTTCTCCCATCAAACTCGCTCTGTCATGCCATTTCCTCGCCTTGTATCTCTCGCCCTCTCCCTCCCTATCCATGTGCTTTTGCAGCAAACTTCAACGCAGCTGCTAGCCCACACATTCTAGTTGATGATGCTCGATAGCATACTCACTCACATCACACACAACTCTAGAGCCGTAAGGCATTCACGTGCAGAATGTACAACAAATGTCTTTCAACCTCATTCCGATACATCTCGTTTCCATTGCACATTGCTTCTTCGAAACAGGCAATTGCACTACAACCAGTTGGAAGGGCCACTCCCAGCATCCTTCACCCATCTATCTGTGCTAAGGATATGGTAAGGTGGCCCCAACAAACAGCGGCGCATCTCATGCTTGTCCCAGACAAGGGCACCCAGACTCCATCCACCAATGCACGATCACATGGTCTTATAGCAGTTGGCATCAAGCATTCATTACTTGGAGAGCGGTACGGGTGCAATGCACTTGCATGGCTCGTCGTAGGCATGGTCAACCTTGGCCCTGAGTGTTGCTGTGCTGACGGCTTGCCCTGGGGCCAGCCCACGATGGGCTGGTTCCTCCCCACTAACCCAGCCAACCCTTGACCATCTCCTAGTAGTGACAGTCCAAGCTCAGCCTGAATCAGGCCAGGATTTGCCCAATGTTTGTGAATCACAGCTCGTTGTCTTCACTGTGAAATGCAACAACGTTTGTGATGCTTGGAGGGCCACTCCCAGCATCCTTCACCCGAGCGCGACGCATGGCTCATTAAAGCTGCGGTCTACATACTTTGAGGCATTTTCCGGGGGCATTTATGGAGAGCACCCTATGACGGCCACTGATTTGACAGCGAACCAATCCACTCAGTGAAACTAGTGTGCGATGTGACTCCAACATGGTTTGCGAGCCCCGCCAGTTTCGTGCGGAGGGTCGTGTGGGAAAACAGCAACAGTAAGGGCGGAAGCCCGGTTGAGTCTGGGGGAAGAATGTGCGGAAGGGCGGAAGCAATACACACATTCTCAGGTGAATTATCAGGAGCGGGGTCCAGTGTTGTCTGCAAAACGAGAAATCGCCCACGGCACCAAAGCACGGAGAGAAGCTAAGCAGAGAATAAGCGGCTAATCATAACGAGTGAAGTTCCTTACATACCGCAGCGACGAAAAGTCTCAACCGTAGGGCATGGCTGCTGACGCCAAAAATAAAAGATAGAGGAACAACTTCGCTTCGCTAAAGGCCAGCGGTGAATGCGACGCATTCAAGTCGTCCGGACGCCACTTGGCGGGGACTTCCAAAGAGACGGATATTTGGCCATTGCGAGATTACCGTGCTCACCGCCTTATTGCAGTGTGGCGTCGAGCTCGTCCTGAAATGACACGAATAGCGACTAGGCGTTAGCGCCAACGCTAAGGCCGGCTGAACGGGGTGACGCAGAGAGCGTTGAGCACGACGGTTCCGCCGCCCGGTTCGTTGGCAAGCAGCACGACGTGTCGTATTATAGTAGCCGAACACGAAGGATCGCGGCGGTGAACGCGGAGCAGGAAGGGGGGATTGGAGTGCGTCGATTAGGTTTAGAAGGTGCGAACTTCTAGTGCCTGTGTTTTGGAAGCTCTCTGTCGAGTGAAGTATGGCTCTCGTGAGAGTCAGAGATATTGGTCTACAAACTCAATCGGTGAGTCAAGTTCTAATCTGAACCCCGAGCCCCCCCCCCCTTCCTTCCGCGTCGATTGTTGGGTTTTCCGCAGGGGTTCGCGACACAAAAAGTAACCCTGTTTTCAAGTGATAAACCATCCCTCCCCGCTCAAAGTATGTAGACCGCAGCTTTAAGCAGGCTCGCCTGCTCGATTCGTGCCAATATGCAATATGAAACTAGGCTCCTGACCCAGGCTTGTCTTGAGCTGCGCTCGAGTTTAGCCTATCTAGGTGACTCAAAGCTCGATTCGTTGCTCATGTCTGTCAATGCGTTGCTTGCTCCCATGGCCTTCATCAACACCACGACACTCATGAAAGGCTCATCTCGTCTAAAACAACCTGCTTCCTTTCTGGACTTTCGTCGTCCCCCCATCAGCGAGATTTTCAACAACCAGATTTCGGGATCTCTACCAGAGACGCTTGGGAGTCTCTCCCAATTAATATCTTTGTGAGTTCTCCCTCTCGTCGCCTCATCCTGTGCTTCCCCCTCCTCTCTAGTTTGCTCCTCCTCCTTTTCCACACGAGAGTCATGACCCTCTCTGTGGCCTTGCGGGTTGTGATCATATGCTTGCCCTGGTTGTCTCCAGGAAGACATGTGCCACAATGCCTGTCACTCACCCCCTTTGTTGCTCCTGCTATGCACCCAATCCGGATTCACCCATGCATCCAGACAATAAGAAATGCATCACCATTCTTCTCTCGCTATGAGTTCCTTCTTTCAAACCCCGGCTTTGCTTCCTGCCTTGCTGCGCATCACATCACATCACATCGCATCGCATCGCATCCCATCGTATCGCATCGCATCACATCACATCACATCACGTCACCCCAGCCGTGCCCACAACAACCTCTTCTCGGGTTCTGTGCCTTCGACTTTAACAACCACGACCAATCTCGCTTTCCTGTGAGCTACCCCCATCCATGTCACTCAGCCAGCTGCTAAACTCGAGCCGTCGACATGACATGATGAGCATAGGGCCAGGTTAGGGGTTGGCCTGGACTGGCTGCAACGGGAAAGGCTCGTGGCACGGACGGGACCTGTAGCCCTCTCATTCAGCTGAGTCACATGCTTCACTTGTAAGCCCATTATTATGCGGGAACTTGATAAATCGAAATCTTCATTGTTTGGATAAAATCTCTGGCTCTCCCTCAGTCCTTAGCTGTGTCCCCAACATTTTTTCTCCACACCCTGGCCGTGTCCCCTCTCAAGTAGGATAGAACTACCGGCTAGCTTCTTTGAAGTTTGAACACTATGATTACCAGGGCCTTTGAAGAATATTGGCTCACACCCTGGGCCCTGCCCAGGGTCATGCCTAGTATTTAGTGACTTGCTTTGCACAGCCTAGTCTCGGTCATTCATGAATGCCCATTGCCAAGTGTGAGCGTGCGTGTGGGCCTTGACTTGGAGCAAGCGGCACATCAAGAGAGGGCGGGCGCTGCATCACTCCCTCCCACTGCTGCACGTGCACCCTTGCCACGGTGCAAACGATTCGGCCTGCCGTTCCTTCTGAATTGACCCTGTTCTTCCTCTCCTGTGACCCGTCCATCCCTCATCTCCTCTCCTGCCCCTCCCTTTCTCTCCCCATCGCCGTTTGCACCTGTCTCTTCCCCTGCCCCCTGTTGCACTTCTCCTGCCCCCTGTTGCACTTCTCCTGCCCCCTGTTGCACTTCTCCTGCCCCCTATTGCATTTCCCCTGCCCCCTGTTGCACTGCCCCTGCCCTTGCATTTCCCCTCGCTTAGCACGGCAGTGAGCTGGGGAACAATGCCCTGAGTGGAACTATCCCTGCCAACCTGGCCACTATTACGACAATTGGCGATATGTGAGGCATGGGGCGGATGGATGCAGCATGGGCTTGGACTCATGGCACGCACTGTGCACATAATGGATGTATGTGCATGTGGTATGGTATGGGGTTTTGGTCATGGGTTACGGGTTATAGGGAGGGATGTGGCATGGTGGATGGGATGGCGCATGGTGCATGGGGCATGGGGCATCGGGCATGGTGCATGAGACATGGTGCATGCGCATCAGTGCATGGTAGTAGTTGCCCTAAGAAGTGTTTTGTTCTCATGGCGTGTTCTGTAGCGCACACATTGAATTGGAGAAAGGAGCTACATTAGTGGAGCATCATTGCATGCCTCTTCTATCCTGTCGTCTCGTGAACTATGACATGTGTGTGTGTGTGTGCCGCTCATCATAGACATGAGCACAAGGGCGAACACCTGTTCGGTTCGCCTCGAACACGTTCAAGGCGAACCGAACAGGTTTGTTTTTTTTGCTTAAATTGTTTTCTGAACAGTGTTCGATGTTCGCCCGAACACGTTCGTGTTCGGGCCGCTGCTGCAATTTGCCCTGCGACGAACACGAACGTGTTCGAGGTTCGCCCGAACACGCCTTCACAGGCGAACGGCGAACACGAACATGTTTGTGTTCGCCCCTTGCTCATCCCTAGCTCATCATTCAACCTTCCTTCAAGCCCGTTCAACCCTCCTGCTCATTCAAAATTGGCCGTCAAGGTCATAGTCCCAAACTGTTAGAACAAATGGACCGTCGAACTGCAGACTGTGCTTACGTGATCAGCCCACGTGTTGTCCAAATCGGCCAAGGGGTGTGAAGTCCAATGGAATCCATTCTGCGGACCCACACGCCTCTCCTTGTTGACCAATCAGCTTGACTTGCTCGGCGCTCGCCATTTAAGCCCGTGCGATCCTGCGCGCTGTGTGTTGAAATCCTTCCCTCCATTAAGTTCACTACGCCTCACTCATATCTATTTGCCTCTCCAGTGGCCTCCCACCCACGCCCTGCCACAGCTGCATCGGGATGCACATTGCTTCCCCACATCTATTGCTTACTCACATTTCCCTCCTTTTTTATACATTTTCTCTCGCGTGTTCACCCTTCCCTTCCCGACTTTGGCTGCACCTTCTTCCTCAGAAATTTTGCGCACAACAAAATCAGTGGCCCCCTTCCAACGACATGGACGACACATGATCTTTATAAGCTGTGTGTTTCTCGTTCTCCCCTCCCCCCCCCCCCCCCCCCCCCCCCCTTTTTTTTTCTAGGGTATATCTGTGTGCTTTTATGTGAAATCTCTACTCTGCTACACCGGTTATGTCAGTACACATGCCACGCCACACAGCACACCACGAACACCACACCACTGGGCATGCCACATCGCATCACCAGCTACATGAGCCAGATGGTAAGCTCAACTGGTGGAAAACAGCTTGTTCTCACTCAGTCGACGGAGTCGTCTTGACAACCACCGGCCTGACCCAACTCGTAATTGTTTCTTCTGATATCTATTTTTTTTTCTTCAGATCTGCCCTTCTCAAGTCATCTAGAGTAGCCTTGCTCCGGAGACCCCTCACGCCCCTCCACCACCTTCACCCAGGTTTTGTGTTTCCCTTTGCAGGAAACACAAATTCGTGCCCGTAGTGGTGTATGAAAAGCATTGAGGGCTGCTATCGGGCATGGGTTCGATCGACAATGAGCATGAGCAAGAAACGAACCACAATCAGTTTGGTTCTTACCGCCAGAACTGGCTCGTCACTAGCCTCGCCCCGTTTCCACGAGCACAGCTGGGCAGCAGAGCTCTGCTCAGCTTGGCTTCTTGGCTCGGGTGTGTTATGGTCTCATCCCTCTAGGCTCAAAGCCCGCAGCTCAAATTGCGCAAGATAGCAAACTTGCGCAAGGTTGAGTGCTGGATGGTCGGGGTGGTGTATGCAGAGTCGAGCAAGGTGTTGAAGGGGTGGCTTGTCTGATTCCGCCTTCCCTCTTGCAAAGATTGGTGTTTTTTCGCTGACTCAGCAAACCCCAGGGTCCACGGTGTGTTTGGGAAGCTGTGGCTCCCTGCTCCTGCCTCTGCCTGCGTCCGATGCGCAAAACGCCTTGAACCAAAGAATGCCTCCCCCCTCCTTCCTCACCTCCCCCCTCCTTCCTCACCTCCCCCCACTCCCAACCTAATCCTTCACTGCCATTCCATCTCATCTCCCACTGCTGCATCCCATTGCGGTTAATCAGCTGTTCAAGTGTCTCTGTTTTTTTGTGCCATTCGCCTCTTTACTTCCCCCAGCAATGTCGGCAACAACCTGTTGACTGGCACTATACCTGACGATATCACTGGCTTGGTCTATCTCACATTGCTGTAAGGCCCACACTGCTGTTTCTTTGTGACTAGTTGTCCCCCCCCTCTCCTGCACCCCACCATTGCCTCTCCCTCCCACCTTACCCCCCCTTTCTTCTGAGTGCATTGATTTTGAGTGTAGTTGTCGCACAGTTCATTCCCTAGCAACTCATTCTTGCCGCCTCCGTGGAGATGCAACTGGTGATGGGCTTTATTTCTCTCTCTTTCTGTACTGCTCCCAAGCATGCATCGCAGTCTTGCCTGTCCGGAAATCGATAGCCCTGACTTGAGCAAGGGCCCGAGCCGAGCTGGCTTGCCTCGAGCTTGAGTTGGTTCGTCATTCACCCGAACCAAGCCGGCTCGCTCACAGGTCGAGCCGGGGTGTGGGGGGGAAAGGGGAAGGGGAGAGGTAAAACGAGAGAGGTGAGAGTGGGGGAGGGGAGGAATCACTTTAAGCAACCACCTGGGTCACCTGGAGCGGTCCTGCTCGTTCAGGCCCTTCACCCCTCAGGTTGGCCACAAGGATTGTCTGAGGAGCCTCTTGGTGACAAACCCAGACGCGATTCGCTTTTAGTCAATCCGGCCATCTCGAGACGAGGCTCGGATTGCCGTGTCAACCGGCCAAAGACACAGCTCGACCATTATCTCAGAGACCATCACATCATGCCCATGCGTTCACACTCCATTCTAGCTTTGCTCTTGTCGTTTCCTCAGTCTCCACTTCCCTTCCATGTTGCTACATCCAGGGACCTGAGCTCCAACCGCCTCACTGGCACCATACCACAAGGTCTTGCTAGTCTCCCCGAGCTAGAAACTCTGTGAGTCCCCCATACGTCCCCAACTCAGCTGTTCTCTCATGCCTCCAACAGTAGAACTGGGCTCCCAGGCTCCAGCCTTGCGGATAAGAGTTCTCGCTCTTTTCTCTTTTGCTCTCCCCCGTCGGGTTGCATTCCTCATCCTTTTATGCACCGTCCTTCCATTCCCTTTCCTTCTATCCCCCATCCTTCCACCTCTACCCCGCAGCAACCTGAGGAACAATCAGCTCACAGGGAAGGTCCTCGAGCCCGTGCCACCAGCAATAGTAACGTACAAGCTGGACAGCAACTACTTCAATGAGGGGTTCTCCTCTCCTCCACCGTGCGAGCAAGGCTACATCACGTACCGCGGCAACTGTGCGGACACACCAGCACAGGATCTAGTGTGTGGAGACAGCCCTCAGAAGACTGACGCTGTGTGCGCTGCCTTCTGCGGTGTCTCTCCCACTTCACCTGCCTGCAACGGCCATGGTGTGTGCGTCTTGGACGGCCCCAGCAACACGCCCACATGCCTCTGTGACGAGAATTTCGTGGTTGGGGAATATACTGGCAGCTGCGTGCCTGTGGCAGGTGAGCCTCTCACACCACAGCCTGAATGTCTGAGCATTCCGTGTCCGTGTCCGTGTCCGTGTCCGTGTCCGTGTCCGTGTCCGTGTCCGTGTCCGTGCCCGTGCCCGTGCCCGTGCCCGTGCCCGTGCCCGTGCCCGTGCCCGTGCCCATGCCATGCCATGCCATGCCATGCCATGCCATGCCATGCCATGCCGTGCCGTGCCATGCCATGCCATGCCATGCCATGCCATGCCGTGCCATGCCATGCCATGCCATGCCGTGCCATACCATGCCATGCCATGCCGTGCCATGCCATGCCATGCCATGCCATGCCATGCCATGCCGTGCCGTGCCATGCCATGCCATGCCATGCCGTGCCATGCCATGCCATGCCATGCCATGCCGTGCCATGCCATGCCATGCCATGCCGTGCCATGCCATGCCATGCCATGCCATGCCATGCCATGCCGTGCCATGCCATGCCATGCCATGCCGTGCCGTGCCGTGCCATGCCATGCCATGCCCTGCCGTGCCATGCCATGCCATGCCATGCCATGCCATGCCGTGCCATGCCATGCCATGCCGTGCCATGCCATGCCATGCCATGCCATGCCGTGCCGTGCCGTGCCATGCCATGCCATGCCATGCCATGCCATGCCATGCCCTGCCCTGCCGTGCCGTGCCGTGCCGTGCCATGCCATGCCATGCCGTGCCGTGCCGTGCCCTGCCGTGCCGTGCCGTGCCGTGCCGTGCCGTGCCGTGCCGTGCCGTGCCGTGCCGTGCCGTGCCATGCCGTGCCCTGCCATGCCATGCCATGCCGTGCCGTGCCGTGCCGTGCCGTGCCGTGCCGTGCCGTGCCGTGCCGTGCCGTGCCCTGCCGTGCCGTGCCGTGCCGTGCCGTGCCGTGCCGTGCCGTGCCGTGCCGTGCCGTGCCGTGCCGTGCCGTGCCGTGCCGTGCCGTGCCGTGCCGTGCCGTGCCGTGCCATGCCTTGCCGTGCCATGCCCTGCCCTGCCCTGCCCTGCCCTGCCGTGCCGTGCCGTGCCGTGCCGTGCCGTGCCGTGCCGTGCCGTGCCGTGCCGTGCCGTGCCGTGCCGTGCCGTGCCGTGCCGTGCCGTGCCGTGCCGTGCCGTGCCGTGCCGTGCCGTGCCGTGCCGTGCCGTGCCGTGCCGTGCCGTGCCGTGCCGTGCCGTGCCGTGCCGTGCCGTGCCGTGCCGTGCCGTGCCGTGCCGTGCCGTGCCGTGCCGTGCCGTGCCGTGCCGTGCCGTGCCGTGCCGTGCCGTGCCGTGCCGTGCCGTGCCGTGCCGTGCCGTGCCGTGCCGTGCCGTGCCGTGCCGTGCCGTGCCGTGCCGTGCCGTGCCGTGCCGTGCCGTGCCGTGCCGTGCCGTGCCGTGCCGTGCCGTGCCGTGCCATGCCATGCCATGCCCTGCGTTGTTTCCACAGCACCTCAAACTTCGTCCCATGGCAAGCCTTGTTCTCAATCTACTTATACTGCTGCCAAGCATACAATATTTTCGCGATTTCTTGCCTTGACTGAGCTTATATATACCTGCCGCTGGTGGCAGGCTGCTTCCTCTGAGAAATCTCCTGCATTCGCCTCTCTGACCATCGTTATGCCTTTCCCCTGCTTCCAGGTGGTAGAACGGAGCAGGATTTGACGCCCACAGGATCCATGTTCACAGCCACTGGCGGCGCCGCAGTGAGTGCAGCCACGCTCACTCTCACGCCTTCCCAGCCGTCCAAACAAGGAGGTGTGTTCCTGGCAGCCCGCGTGCCGCTCTTCTCCTACCAGCTCATCGGGGACACCTGCGGCCGCCAGCTCGCCTTCTCCTCCTCCTTCTCCTTCACTCTCACCCGCCCTGCTGCCTCCGGCTCCGAAGGCTTTGCCTTTGTGGTGGCCTTTGATGCCACCCCGCCCACAACACCAGTGGCGGGCGGCATGGGGTATGCGGGGATGGGAGCGCGCAGCGTGGCAGTGGAGTTTGACACATCCAAGGATGCGGGCAACAGCGACCCTGACAGCAACCACGTTGGCATCAACACCGGCGGCAGTGTCGTGTCGTTGGTCACAGCCAAGCCCGGCTTCCCCCTCAATGAAGGCAAGCCCAAGCACGCCTGGATCGACTACGACCCTTCCTCTGATGGCTCCCTGCGCGTCTTCCTCTCCTCCCAGGCGTCCCCTCGCCCCACCAAGCCCCTCCTGTCGGCACGCATCTCCCTGTGTGAGGAGCTCGCCCCAACCACATCCGAGTACACCTTTGCCATCGGCTTCACTGCTGCCTCCTCCACCCAGGCTCAAAGCCATGTCGTCTCCGCCTGGACCCTCTCCACACGTGAGTGCATCCCTGAACGTGTCCTGTCACTCACTTGTTTCCCTGCCTTGCTGTTTGTTTGTCCCATCAGTTAGGAATAAAAGTTGTTCAACATTGGCTGGAGCCCTAAGTCACTTCTTTTTGTTTTCTCTCTCCTTGCAGGTTTTCCTATCCAGCCAACTCCAGGTATGACGTGAACATTGATTGCTGTTGTCCAAGCAATATCATTGCATTTTGAACCAGTTTTGAATGTTCACCAGCAGTTATTGTTCCCTCCACAATCCTCCTCGTGTCCACTCTATACCCTTTCCTGGATCCCAGATGCATCGCTGGGTTTTACCTTCAGTGAGGCGGCGCTCTCTATATCGGGAATGAATCCCTTTTTCCGCTATGCCAGCTCGGGCAGTGTTGCTGCACAGAATGGCAATGACGTGTATGGTGTGCAACCTGCAGCGTCCTGGGTTCGCCCTGACTTCACATGGCCTGTCAGGACTCAAACCCTGACTTGCGGTGAGTACCCCTGGACCCCAACTAATGCTCCATGCCATGCCGTACAGTGTTCGCATTCGCTTGGGATGCCTTGTGCCTTATCCGGTTGTAGTTGGTCCGGCTCGTGTTGAGCCACCTAGGCTCAGCTCAGGTCGAGTGAGAGTTGAGGCCAACTGGGCTGGGCTTGCTTCGAGTCTGTACTTATGCCATTGTTGTTTGTAAGAACGGACGAACAAAACCCGCTGTGGGTCGGACGAACTCTGATCGAATAGGTTTGAATTGAATTGATTAGGCTCCTTGGCTGGTTCGAGGTTCGGCCTCATGTGGTCGAACAGCCGGCGGTTCGGTGGGTCGAAGCAGTTTGGGTTCTGAAATACCGGATCCTTCACAAACCTTTTTTTTTTTTCTGTTTTTTTTTTTTTTTTTTTTTTTTTTTTTTTTCTTTTTAATTTCTTTAAATGTCGCTCTCTCGCTCTCTCAAATACATATCAGTGGTGCAAAAATGTCAGTCTCGGTAGCTCGGAAGAAAAACAGAGGGGTGGGTGGGACTCGCTCACTGGATGACGAGGTTAAGGCAAATGTGATGCGTGGTCAAAACTGTCGCAAATATCAACAGTGAAAAAGGCTTGTGCGGCTCAATATTCTCTCAAGACCTCTCCACCTCAGCAAGTTGCTCAAAACCTGAGCAGCGGGGGCAAGGGGCTATTGACACTGCTGCCATGCTACATGGCGGTAATACTGTGCCTATGCCTGATGCGTTTCCTCTATACAACCGACTCATGCATTTCCTGGCAGGCGACTGCTGGGCGTATGCAGTGGTGGGCAGTATCGAGGCGGCATACGGCATAATGAACAACACTGCAGCGGTGCAGGCACTCTCAGTGAAGCAGCTGAAGGCCGCCATGAAGGTCGGCTGCTCTGGCAGCACGCCCTCTCAGGCCTTCCAGCTGCTGCTCAAGCTCGCGCAAAAAGGAGGCGGGCTCGTGTTGGAAAGCCAGGGGCCGGCCAAGAAGAAAGGCAAGAAGGCCGTCGGGAAGGCAGGCAGCAGCAGTCCTCTTTGCTATCCGTTTCTGAAGCCACTGGGGAAGCTGTTCGGTGTGTCATGTGGCACTGCTAGCCCACGTGTGAGTAGTGAACCTCGTGTTAGCTTAGTACAGCGTGGCCATGAAGACCCAACGTGAGAGTCACTCATGAGAAGTTGCTTGTCATTCAAGCAGTCGATTTCTGTGTTGCTCAAGCTTCTCTCACACTCAGTGCCTAGATACTAGAGCTCTGTGTGACCTGGTCACCTTCCATACCCCATGCATCCAACCTCCTCCAGATCGCATACCTCATGCAGCCAACCTCGTCCATACCTGTTTTTCACTTCCCCAAGCAGTCCCTTACTGCGTTCCCCATCAGCGGCTTCGAGTCGACGTCCTTCTACGGCTGGTTTGGGCTGCTGCTGGCCGTGCAGCGGCAGCCAGTGGTGGTGCACATTGAGGCTTCTGCCGACACGTTTAAGGATTACAATGGGGTGAGACGGTGTTAATGAATAGGAGGGTTCGAGTAGAGGAATTGTATGGCTGGTTTGAACCTATGGGGGGGAGTGTGTGATTGTTGGGTCCTTGTTTGGGTCCTCCCATGAATAATGTGCGGATTCGGATATTGGCTCATCCTGGTGTTTTCAATTCTCCCAGTTTGTACACGACACCTTGAAACAAACCGGTGGCGGCTAATCACTTCTTGCCTTCCCAATACATCCTTCCCTCAGCTGTCCAAGTACCAGGACCCAGCGTGCTTCACGTACAACCTGAACCACGTGGTGCTGCTGGTGGGGTACCGCCTGGTGGGCAAGGACTCGCGCTTCCCCCACATGGCGCCGCCCTTCTGGATCATCCGCAACTCATGGGGACCTGACTGGGGCGATGGGGGCCACATGCGCATGGACATCCAGGGGGGAGATGGCGTGTGCGGCATCAACTCGATGCCAGGCCTCTACCCCGTGGTCAGAGGTGAGTGCGTGCATGGTCAAGGTTGAGAGAGTAAATGGTCAAAGGAGAGTATAAGATGAAAGATGAGTGCACGGGCAAGAGGGAGTGAATACATAGGCTGCTTTTAGTACACCAGTTCAGGTCATAACGCCATTTCAGATTTCATTTCAGGTTTCAAAGCCCTCTTGTGCTAATTTCAGAACCTGGTTGTCTTGCTACTGTGCCCTCCTTGCCGGGCCTACCTCTACCTACAGCCAAAGACCCGTGCAACAAAGCGGCCCGCGGTGATGGAAACGGTGGTTCTCTCTTCAATCCGTGCGGCAAGTTCACTTGCACGGCGAAGGGCAAGACAAACGAGTGTGACTGCAACGACCCGCGCTTCATCCAAGCAACCAACGCCGATGGCTCTCGCACATGCGCCTACAGTAAGCCTCTGCTGCTGCTGCTGATGCTGCTGCCGCCGCCGCCGCCGCCGCCTCTGCCGCCTAATCTTGACGTTCTTACAAGTTGAAACCCTCTCAGTGCTTGCCTCTTCTCACCGTTCTCACAGCCACCGTGTCCCCTCATTCCCCCCCTTCCCTCTTGCTCTCTCCCTTCCCCTCCCATCATGCCTATCTCCTCCCTCGCTTCCCTCCCTCCCCTCCTCAACCCTCCCATCCCCTCCCCACCCGTCCCCTCTCTCTACCTTGCCCCTCATCAGAGGACGCATGCAAGGCAGCCCAGCGCAACCCATGTGCGGTGGGGCAATGTGTGAATGACGGGGCAGGGTCGTTCTCGTGTGTGTGTCCACCGGGCTTCAGGCAGGGCACCACCTCCGAGGGCACTTACTCCTGTGCTCCAGGTACCTTCTCCTGTGCTCCAGGTACCTTCTCCTGTGCTCCAGGCACCTTCTCCTGTGCTCCAGGTACCTTCTCCTGTGCTCCAGGTACCTTCTCCTGTGCTCCAGGTACCTTCTCCTGTGCTCCAGGCACCTTCTCCTGTGCTCCAGGCACCTTCTCCTGTGCTCCAGGCACCTTCTCCTGTGCTCCAGGCACCTTCTCCTGTGCTCCAGGCACCTTCTCCTGTGCTCCAGGTACCTTCTCCTGTGCTCCAGGTATCTTCTCCTGTGTTCCAGGTACTCTCTCCTGTGCTCCAGCTAATCTATGTTCTCCAGTGCTCGAAGTACCTTCTCCATTGCTCCAGGTATTTTTTTCTGTGTTTTGTGCGCTGAGGGTGTTCTCTCAACTACTAGTAATGAAAATGTGGACTTGTGCTTGAAGAGCACGGTATGCAGAGTATGAAAGTATGGAAGGTATGAAAATGTGGACTTGTACTTTAGGGCATGCCACACGATGAAGGCTGCCCTGTGTATATCCCTCTTTGTCTGGCTCAGGCCAGACATTCGGATTGTGAACTCGTAGTTCCGCATAAATAACAGGGTAGAATTCCGTGCAGACTTGCACCACCTAGAACTTGCTGTGCCCCACAACAGATGCAATGCAGCACAACGAAGGAATGAGAACATCGATTTTTTAATTAGAAAGAGTCACGTCAGAGTGTAAAATGTTTTGTCTGACCGTACTTAAGGGTTTTATTCCACTCTGGGCTGCATGCAGGTGACACCAGCAACACCTACACCGTGCTCTCTCCCAACGTTCGCTGCTCCGACGTCTTCCCGGTCTACGGCCTCACGCTCGCCCAGTTCCAAGCCCAGAACGTGCGTCTCCTGCACCATTTGAGAAATCTACAGAGATATACAAGCAGATTGATAGGACCATGCGTCTCCTGCTCCCACACCCCACGAGCAGTTGTCTTTGGTGTCTTTTGCCCTGCAACTCACACACAGCTCCTGCCTTTCTATGCGTGCATGGGAGTGTGTCGTGTCTCTTTATGCCCTCACCCCGGTGTGTGCAGCCATCGGTGTCGTGTGCAGAACCCATCCCACCCTCCACTGTGCTCAACGTGGCCAGCCCAGCCTCTCTCATCCCCTGCTCCGTCTTCTACACCACGCAGCAGGTTCCACCTTGCACCCTTCCTGCCAATACGCCACTCCTCGTCTTCCCGTATCTTCACCTCCACCCATGTCCTTCTCTGACATTCCCCATCCCTTCATCATCCATCGCACCTCAAATGCCATTCCTAACCTCACATAAACCGCTTCTTCGCCTCACATCTCTTCACTGATTAGAGCCCTCACACTCTCTCGCTCACAGCCCCCTCTCCCTCCCACCTCCTCCTCCCTGCATCTCGTTCTCAGGGCGACACCTGTGCAGACCTAGCGTTGTATTTCAAACTGCGCTCGTCCTGCCCATCTGCCAGCTGCACGGCCAAATTCCAGGCGCTCAACCCCAGCTTGGTCTGCAGCGCCAACGGCGGGCTGCTGCAGCCCGAGCAGGCGGTGTGTGTGGAGCGTACGATTGAAAAAGTGGGGCTCATCCCGGTGTGCTCGCAGTACTACCTGGTGCAGAGCGCAGAGACGTGCGAGTCCATCCGCAACGTGCCCTTCCCCGCTCTGAGCCCCATTGACTTCTTCCGCCTCAACCCCGGCATCAAGTGCAACCGCCTCGTTCCGAAGACCGACGTCGACGGCTTCACTGGCTTTGAGGTGCGTGTGACATCAACTGCTCTGCTCATGTCTCTCTTTCCTTCCCTGTGGATCAACCTTCCGTCCTCTCTTTCAATTAAACTGGCTTGTCTTCTCGCTCATGCTTACTGCCAAGCTGGTTTTCTCGTGACTGCTCTCTTTTACTCTTTTCTCCCTTTCATCTTCACTCCACCCCTCATCCCCTTTTTTCACCCCCCCAGGCATGCATTGCGAGCTCCACTTCCTACACTCAGGGCTTGTGCCCGCGCGCGAATGCGTATGTGGTGGGGACAGGCGACAGGTGCACGGCCCTTCAGGTGAAGTACTTTCGGGGCATCAAGGGCTGCTACAGGAAAGTCAATGGATACGACTGCATTGACAAGCTCGTCAAATCAACCCGCGTGTGCCTGCCTGACAAAGTCAAGCTTCAGAAAGGAGTCTGCGACAATTGACCGCCTGCAGGCTGCCTCTGCATCTGCCGTGCTGGCCAGGTCTGCCGTGCTTGTAAAGTCAAACAGGACCTCGGTGTGCTTATGCCCAACATGCCTGTAGTGTAGCCGTAGTGTAGCTGTAGTTGTTCTTTCCTATATGTACTCTCAATTCTATAGTGAATCCCCTCATTTCTGAAAATCGTTGCCATGTTGTCTCTCTCGACATTCAGCCCTCAAACCCTAGTCCTAAGTTATATTATTCTTCCAACATGTTATTAGAGCTGCTCCTATTCAAATAACCAAAACATTTTCTGATCATGGGCCCACCAAACTTCCGTCCTCTCACAGCACCCGGCGTGAAGGTCGCGGGGGCAAGCTGGCCTCATCCTCCCCGTCGCACTGCCCGACGCGCTGTCGCGTGCGCCCGTCGCGCTGCACCTGCGTCTGCCCGTCGCATGCACCTGCCTGTCGATTCTACCTCTCGCGCCTGCTGCTGTGGGGAGGAAAGGAGAAAGGGGGTGCGTGGCGCCAGCGCTATCACCAGCCGCCAGCGACAATGGCCAGCGCCAGTGCCAGTGTGCCAGAGGACCCGCCAGCGAGCCCACCAGTGGACCGCCAACGGCCCGTCAAACCGCCAGCACCTGCACCTACCACCTCCCTGCATCGCCCCATCCGCGATTCCCTTCGCGGATCTGTCCCCCCCCTTTCCTCCCGTCGCCATATCCACGCCTCTAGCTATGCTCTTGCTGTTGGGAACTCGGAGGGGGTGGCGGTGTGTGGAGGGAAAGTGGTGGACAGTGGGGTATGCACAGGCAGCTGATACTGAGTTTGCTTTTGTCAGGCCATGTCCCAATCGACTACGACGCCGAGCCAACTAAGGTTGAGGGCTCAACCCCACGATGACCCGGACCCGTAGCAGGCAGAGGAAGATGATGGCGACTGGCCATAACCCAATGACAGTGAGGATGAAGGCGCAGAGTATTGGTTTCGTGATAACCTCCCCGAACACCTTCTGATTCCGTCATTTCCGCAACAAAAAAAAAACACCCTCATCCCTCCCGTGAAAATCGAGATGCCCGCCCCCCCTCCCCCAGGAGAAATGTCATGACGCAGCAACGCCATGCGTACACCGCCGGTGAAAAGTCCGCCTCGATGTCATCAACAACGTTAGCGAAGTGTTGCGAGAGTCCGGGATCTCGCGCCGTCAGCTTGCCAAGCGGAAGAAGAAAACGCAACAAATTGGGTGGAGCTGCTAAGTGTCGCAAGCGTCTTCATGAGCACGGCATTGCCTCGTGGTATCCTGACCTACAGCAGGATTTCTATGCAAGGCTGCCGGCGGCACGCGCGAAAGGCCTGGTGGTGTTTGTGGGGAGGCTGCAGCAGTGGTCGATGGAGTCCACAGAGTTGCACTTGATGGTGATGTGGAACGGGTCTTACCGCTCGTCGGAGCATTTTTGTTGCCGCTAAAACCTTTCCTGTCAGACATACATGATATAGCCTGTGTAGGCTGTAGTGGGGTAGCCAATAGGGGGTACAGCTTTTCTAGGGTTTCATACTTGTACCTTTCTCATTCCTAGTCAATCCATTTCCTCGTTCTTATTCTCACATGGTATTAGAGCAGAATCGTTCCTAAGGCCCACCGAACGTTCCGCCCTGCCCTAACTGATTTTTTATTTTTATTTTTAGCTGCCCATGTAGCCGTGCCTGCCCCTGCAGCCGTGCCTCCCCCTGCAGCCGTGCTTGCCCCTGCAGCCGTTCCTGCCTCTGCAGCCCGTGGGAGCTGCCTCTGTAGCCCGCGCGCCGCCCTCTCGAGCAGCTGTGCCTGCCCCTGCAGCCGTGCCTGCCCCTGCAGCCCGTGGGCGCTGCCTCTGCAGCCGTGCCTGCCCCTGCAGCCCGTGGACGCCGCCCCTGCAGCCGTGCCTGTCACAATAGATTTATATCTATTTAGTATAATCTGTCTGTAGTGTAGCTGTTGTGTAATTCCCTTGTATGGTGGTGCACCTCTTTCATCTTTGTTAGGTTGCTATATGTACTCGTGTGCTATAGTGAACCTCCAACCATTTTCAGTTCCTCCTTGGCACAAACTACTCGACACCCGTTTGGCCTTAGGCTACTAAGCCTAGGCCGTTAATTAAACCCGGTTACCAGCTCAGATCGTATCGTAACATGGTATCGAGCTACTAAGATCCTACTCCTAGGTGAATGGGCCCATCACCAGCTGTCGATATGACGCGCCCCGTCGATCAGGTCGTTGCGCAGCCCGTCGCTCGCCCGTCGCCCCACCGGCTCGAGGTCCCGCTGCTGCTGCGCTAGCGACGACGAGCTGCGCGATGGCGCTCGTCGCGCCCCACCGTTACGGCCCCCCCAGTTCACCTGCGGACCCGCGAGCAAGAGAGACAGCGGATCCGCGGACCCGCCTTCAGCGAGCGAGCTAGCGGACCCGCGAACCTGCCTTCAGCAAGCCCGTCGACGGACCCGCCGACGGGCTCGTCACAGGGCCCGCCGACGGACCCGCCGTCGGACCCGCCAACGAGAGCGCCAGCAAGCCCGCCTGCGACCCGCCACCCGCACCCGCGCGACCCGTTCCTGCCCCGCTTGCATCTGCTGCGCCAGCTACTGCCGTTTCGTCCCGTTCCCGCCGCCCCACCCGGAACCCGATGCCCCACCTGTACTCGGCCGCCTGCCCGTCTCCCCCCCCGTCGCAACTGTTCGCGTGTGCAGCGGCGGTCGCTGTGGGTGGGAGAGGGAGGACGGGAAGGGATTGGCGGCCCAACCGACGCGCCAGCCAGCTCGCACCCCGCCCATCTCCCATACGCCACCCGCATCTGCACGACCCGTCCCTGCCCCGCCTGCATCTGCCGCGTCAGCAACTGCCGTTTCGTCCCGTACCCGCACTGTCCCTGCCCCTCCCCGTCCCTCCCTCGTCGCGCCTTCCCCCTCTACCGCGCCTGCCTATGCCGTGTTGGGCGGTGGTGGGTGTGGAGGACAGTGGGGGCGGCGGCGGCGGGAATGGCGGGAGTTGCGGGAGTGGCGGGATTGGCGGCTCATGTGGGGGGGTGGGGGAGGCGTGGGGGAAAGGGGTGGTGGGCGGCTGTCAGCAGTGAACGCCTGCGCAAGCGCCAGAACTGCCGCCAACGCCTACCGCCCGTCCGTCTTCCCTTCCCCCCCTCCCCGTCGCCTTCACTACCGCGACTGCAACTGTTGGGGGGGGAGTGACATGGAGGGGGTGATCAAACTGCAGCAATTGTCGCCACGCCTCCTCCTCTCTCTCTCTGCCGCTGTTGCTGCTGTGGGGGGGAGGTTCAGGGGGTGTGGGTGGATGTTCCAGCTGCAGCAACTGCCACCACACCTCCTCCTGTCATCCCCCTGCCCCGTGTCTCCCGTGCTGCTACCCCGTCGTTCCTGTGCCCCACCTGTGCTGTCCGTACCTGATTGTGCCCCACCCGTTACACCCGTGCTGTCCGTACCCAGTCGTGCCCCACCCGTTCCACCCGTTCCACCCGTTCTGCCCGTGTCCTGCCCGTGTTCTGCCCGTGATTCTGCCCGTACTGCTGCCCGTGATTGTGCCCGTGATTATACCCGTGTGTTGCCCGTATTTTGCCCGTGTTCTGCACGTGATCCTGACTGTGCTTCTGCCCGTGATTCTGCCTGTGATCCTGCCCGTGTTGCTGCCCGTTCCCGTGCCCTACTGACCGTGCACCTCCTGTGCTCCCGTGATCCTGTGCTACTCATGCTTCTTGTGCTTCTCGTGCTGCCCCGTGGTCCTGTACTGTCCCGTATTGCCCGTACTTCCCCGAGCTTGCCCCGTGCCCATGCCCGTGCTGTCTGCCCGTGTTCCCTGTGCTTCTGCTCGTGCTCTACCCGTGCTGTTTGTTCCCGTGCGTGCCCCACCTGTACCACCCGTGCTGTCAGTGCCCGTGCTGCCCCGTTCTGCCCGTGCTACCTCGTGCTCCTGTGCTGCCCCCGTGTTCCCGTGCTGCCCCCGTGTTCCCATGCTGCCCCCGTGCTGCCCCGTTCAGCCCTTGTGCTGCCCCGTTCTGCCTGTGCTGCCCCGTTGTCCCCGTGTTGCCCCGTTCTGCCCGTGTTGCCTCGTTCAGCCCGTGTCCTGCCCCGTTCTGCCCGTGTTGGCCTGTTCTGCCCGTGCTGCCCCGTTCTGCCCGTTTGTGTCCTACCCGTGCTGTCCGTACCCGTTGGTGCCCCACCCGTGCTGTCAGTTCTCGCTCGTGCCCCACCCGGTCTGTGCTGCCCGGTCTCGTGCTGCCCGTCACCCCCGTGCGGCCCGTCCCGTACAGCACCTAGTTGCTACCCGAACCCGCTACCCGTACCCGTGCTCCTCGCACACCGTGCACCAGCTGCGGGGCGTTCAACCGCAGCCGGGCACCTGTTCCACCGCGGTGGTTCAGATGCTGCTTGGTGGTTGCTGCTTGTCAGCTTCAGAGGGGGCCCCTTGCTGGTGTTCCCACGCCCTGTAATGGGGTTTTACAGGTGTACCCCTTCAAGGGGGGCTCTGCACATGGTTATGCACTTCAGGCAGATAGGGGGTGTGTCACAATAGATTTATATCTATTTAGTATAATCTGTCTGTAGTGTAGCTGTTGTGTAATTCCCTTGTATGGTGGTGCACCTCTTTCATCTTTGTTAGGTTGCTATATGTACTCGTGTGCTATAGTGAACCTCCAACCATTTTCAATTCCTCCTTGGCACAAACTACTCGACACCCGTTTGGCCTAGGCTACTAAGCCTAGGCCCTTAATTAAACCCGGTTACCAGCTCAGATCGTATCGTAACAGTGCCTGCCTCTGCAGCCCGTGGGAGCTGCCTCTGCAGCTCGCGCGCCGCCCTAGACCCTGCTCGTCGCGACGCCCCTGCGGGACCCGCGCGGCGTCCCCCCCTGCTCGTCGCGGCGCCCCCTGGACGCCGCCCCTACTCATCGCTGCGCTCCCGGGGCGTCGCCCTTACTCGACCTACCCACCCATCGTGGCCCTGCCCTGCACCCGCCCCTGGTAAGCGCCCCTGCTGCCCGTCGCGTCGCGCGCCCCTGCTGCCCGCCGCGCCGTGTGCCCTTGCAGCCCGTCCCGTCACACGCCCCTGCAGCTCGTCGCGTCGCGCACCCCTGCAGCCTGACACGTCGCCCGTCGGCCCTGCCCGTGCCCGTCGCGTCGCCAGAGCGGGCTGCCCCAGCCCGCCGCGACGCCCGTCCGCCCTGCCTGCTTGCGCGCCGCCCCTGCCCGCCGCGCGACGCGCCGCCCCGTGCAAGCCGCCCGCGCGCAGACCCTTGCAGCCCGCGCGCCGCCCGTTTGCAGCCCGCGAGCCTCCCCTGCAGCCCGCGAACCGCCCCTGCACCCAGCGCGCCTGCCTCTTGCAGCCAGCGCACTGCCCCTGCAGCCCGCGAGCCACCCCTGCAGCCCGCAAGCCGCCTCTGCAGCGCCGAGTGCGCCCTGCCAAACCCTAAAATAAATAAATAATTACTAAAAAAAAAAAATTAAGAGGAGCCCTAGGTGCTGCTGCCCTAGGTGCTACTGCTGCTACTGCTGCTACTGGCGGTGGCCAGATGCAGCTCCAGCGACGTCCGCGTGAGTCCCTCATGCCCCAGCAGCTTCGTGAGTGGTACGCTAGTTGGGGTTGTAGGGGTGGCCGCGCTGCTACTGCTGCTACTGCTGTTCCTGCTGCTACTGCTGCTACTGCGGCTACTACTGCTACTGCTGCTCCTTGCGGTGGCCAGATGCAGCTCCAGCGACGTCCGCGTGAGTCCCTCACGCCCCAGCAGCTTCGTGAGTGGTACGCTACTTGGGGTTGTCGGGGTGGCCGTAGTGGGAGTCGCCCTGGAGTGGGTAGTTCGGGAGCTTCTGGTAGTGGCCAGGTGCAGCTGCAGCGTCGTCCCCGCGAGGCTCTTTCTCCCCAGCAGCTTCGTGAGTGGTACGCTCAGAGTGGAGGGTCACGGAGTACTGCTCGCTGCCCGTACGTCATTCCCACTGGTGCTCGGGCTGGTCAGCCTTGCGGGACGATTGGTCACACAGAGTCCCGCTGCTTCTCCCGTCTGAGCGACGCCTGGCGTACAGAGTTTGGCGACGCGGCTGAGCTCCCCGACTGGGTGGAGCTGCTTAGGCAGAGGGTAGATATCTATGCTCTTGACTATGATGCTATCCTCACTGCCATGTATGCATTGCCTACTAGTGCTGAGGGTGCCTGTTACCTGTGTGTGCCGCCTGACCCAGGTATCGAGTCTGCTGCTCTAGGTGCTGGTGAGGCTGCTGCTCTAGGTGCTGGTGCGTCTCCTGCTCCAGGTGCCGGTGAGGCTGCTGCTCTATGCGCTAGGGAGTCCACTCCTCCAGGTGCTGGTGAGTCTGCTCTCTCTGGTACTGCGCCTGCTGTGGCCTTGCACACTTTCACCCTTGACTCAGGTGCTTCCCACTCCTTCTTTCGCGACTGCACCACACTCTCGCCGCTCAGTCGGCCGGTGGCAGTCTCTCTGGCTGACCCCTCTGGGGGTCCGGTCCTTGCCCACTCCTCCACGGTTCTGCCGTGTCCGGCGGTCCCGTCTGGCTCACTGTCTGGCCTCCACCTCCCCTCGTTCTCCACGAACTTGGTGAGTGGAGCTGACCTTCAGGACGCGTGGGTTGACCAGTTCACTCCTGGAGGTCAGCGGGTGACCCACTGTTCGTGTGCTCGGACGGGCCGGCACCTGGCCACGTTCACCCGTCAGCCTGGGTCGAGCCTGTACACCCTGACTACCGTGTCTCCTCCGGTTGCTGAGTTTGTTCAGGTAGCTGCGTCGGGTCAGGTGTTTGCTGCAGCGTCCCGGTCTGGTCCTGAGTGTGCCCCCTTCTCGTGTCGCCTCCTGTCTCACCAGACTCTCCTCTGGCACCACCGCCTTGGTCACTGTCAACGGGAGTTGTGTTTGGCCCCGTCCTCGCTTGGGCGGAGCCGACCACGGGAGGACCGTGGGAGCCGCGAAACCGCGGGAGGACCGTGGGAGCCGCGAAACCGCGGGAGGACCGTGGGAGCCGCGAAACCGCGGGAGGACCGTGTGGGCCGCGAAACCGCGGGAGGACCGCGAAATACCCGGTCAACCAGGATACCCGGGCGACGTGCGCGAAAGTCGCCGGGGGTGTTTTCTGCGAGTACGACCTCGGGGGTGGTATCCCGAGGTCGACGTGGCTGGTGGGCGCCGTCACGGGTGGAGTGTCTACGCTGGGCATGTGACGGGGAGTTGGGCGCCAACCAGCTGCACGCACCTGCGAAGCTGGTGCACCATTGTCAGGCGGGTGCAACGCTGTGCAGCCGACTTACTGCAGCGTTGGCACACCGCGGACTTGCAACGTTGTCAAGCCGCGACTCTGCTCTGCTGGAGCGCGGTCGACCAAGTCGTGCTGGCACGCGGTCGACCGTACTGCGCTGGCAGTCGACCAGCAGCCTTGCTAGGTCTGATGTAGTCTGTGTTGCCAATGTTGATGAAATCATTCTGAACTTTTGTTGTCAGGTTTTCCTAGTGAAACTCTTGCCAATTTTCCCCGTGAACTAGCAAGCAGTGTTAGCACTTGGAAACGACTAAGGAACGAACGAACGCTACGATCACTCTTGCCCCGTGCCTAGCCCGTAGTCTAGCTCCCGTAGGCTGAGCGGTCCCACGAGCTCCTCGCGCAAGTGAATTACGTCGCCCCCGCGAAGCAAGGTGGTCGACCGGGGCAGCGCGGGCAGTCTGGTGGCAGTCACCGCGGTGGCGGGAAGCTAGCGAAGGACGCTGACAAGTAGAAGTCGGCCAAGGATGGCGGTCGTGGAGGAGGAGGTCGACGTCGGGAATGCTGGCTGTGCGGCGATCCCGATCACCTCTCCTTCGAGTGTCCCGACCGCAGTGACTCGGACGACGACGAAACCAAGGGAGGCCGCGGGAGGTCTGGCAGCCGTCGTCCGCGTCGAGGAAACCAGCCGCGAAAGGAGAAGCAGTCGACGAAGTCGACCTCGGCGATGGACGCCGACTCTTCCGCGGGTGGCAAAGGGCGAGGCGAGAAGGAGGCGTCGTGCTCGCTGGTCGGTATCGTAGAGTCGACCGTCTCGCTGGCGCCGGAAGCTGGCGAGGATTTCCAGGCGGTGGCGGCAGCTGTGCAAGCAAACCCTGCGGTGGTCCTTCTCGACAGCGGCTGCTCGCACCACCTGATGGGGACGAAGGAGGCCTTCGTCGACTTGGGGCCGAGTGGCGACGTGAAACACGTGCGTGGCTTCAATGGGGCGCTGCAGGACGTTCGCAGCCGTGGCACGGTTGCGCTGCAAGGGGAGGCCGGGAAGCGGGTGCTCATCTCCGACGTCCTCTACGTCCCGGGCGTGCAGGCAAATCTGCTTTCGGCTGGCCAGCTGAAGGAGAGCGGGGTGACGCTGACGGACGACGGCGACCGGATGTTGCTCGTCTCCGCGGCGGGGGACGTGCTCGGTCGCGCGACGTACACTGGCCGGGTCCTCTGCACTGACCTGCGCCCATGCGCGGTCAAATCGGCGACGCCCGCGAAAGAGGAGGTGGCTCTGCGGGCGATAGTCTCGGCGACGAAGGCAACCCCGAACAGGTTGCACGCGAGGCTTGTGCATGTTGGCATGGACACCATACGGAGCTCGGCGAAGCACGGGGTCGCCACCGGGCTGGACCTCCAGTCGGCGTCTGGCGCCGACTCACCGTGTGTTTCGTGCGTCGGCGGGAAGCTGGCGCGGCACACCTTCCCCGACCACGGCTCCGAAGCCGACGACGTCCTGGCCGTCGTGCACATCGATTTGTGCGGGCCATTTCGCGTGGTTGCCAAGGACGGCAGCCTGTACTTTTTGCTGCTGAAGGACCGCAAGACCCGCTATGTGTGGTGAGGCCGGTCGCCAAGAAGTCGGACGTGCTGCTGGAGTTCGAGAAGTGGCTGGTGCTGGTGGAGCGGCAGGCGAAGCATTCGGTGCTGCAACTGCGTTCTGACCGCGGAGGGGAGTTCCTCGGAAAGGACTTCACCGCCTTCGTGGACAGCAAGGGAATCGTTCACGACTTGACCTGCCCTTACACCCCGCAACAGAATGGCATGGCGGAGCGGGAGATGAGGACGGTGGTGGAATCGGTGCGGACGATGCTGCTGCACATGGGTGTACAACACCACTGGTGGCATCTCGCTCTGCGGCAGGCCGTCTGGGTTCGCAACTGCCTGGAGCGGTCGTCGCTGCCCGTGGGGACGAGCCGTACCAGCTCCTCACCGGGCAGAAGCCCGACTTGTCAATGGCGCGGGTGTGGGGCTGCATGGCGCAATTCCTCGTCCCTGAGCAGCAGCGCGGTGGGAAGCTGAAGCCGAAGGCCCGGTGGGGCCTTCACCTCGGCGAGTCGGAGGAGAGCAAAGGCTGGGAGCTCCTCGACATCACCGCCAACCGGGTGGTCACCACGTCGGACGTGGTGTTCTACGAAACTCTGTCGCTGGAGGTGTGGAAGTCGGACCTCGGGCCTGCGTCAGGGCGGACG